CAGCCTGGAGCTCGTTCCATGGCAGTGTACTACATGGCAACCTCGTTCGAGTACTCGTGCTCTTCCATCTCCCTGTCACCATCTTTTCGGTCTATCAAATGACCCAGCCACCTTCCATAGTTTCTTTGACCTCCAGAGTCCTGGCTGGACTTTCGTTCGCCCTCATATCATGCTTGATTCCTGCTATACTTGTACTTCGCGTGCGGCTTACGACGACGAACAAACTATACGAAGAAACCCGAACGTTACTATCTTTGGGTCCACTGTACAATCACTATCGCCATGGATCGCAGATGTTTGCTTCATTACTCTTCGCAACTGACATCGCGATCGGTGTCACTATTGGAGCCGGTCAGAAAAGCGGAACGGCACAAGCTATTGTGATTTTGGTGGTCGAGGTTCTTAATGCGCTCGTGACCAGTATCTGGTTACCTTGGGGCACTGGCGCGAGTATGGGCTTGATCAGTTTCTTGTTCTGCGTAGCAAGGATCGTGATCGCGGTGTTATTGGTGATCTTGGCCCCTGCGGTAACGTTAATTATTCTCCTCTTGAAGTAAAATATCAATTTATGCATTCACAGATTTCAGTCGGAGTAGGCCCAGATGCTTGGGTAGCGTATGGAATATTGGCCATTCTTGCCTTGATCTATGCATCTCTCGCACTCATGCTTGTCTTCAAAGTCATTGAGGCTATCGTTCGTATCGTTGGTGGAGTATCGTTTGATCGTTCCAGACATGTCGTCGATAGTGGCCTTTTCGGTGCCTGTGGTCTACTTGGCTGTTGCGGAGGTCCTCGTAAAGGCTCAAATCGAAATAAACGCGGCGGAAAGTCTTCCGACAGAACAGGTTATACTCAAGCCGAGTCTGGTCTCCGTTCACCTCAATCTGATCTGTCCTTCCCGCCCACCCTCGCACTTGGTACTGGGAAAGGTTCAATTCACTCGAGTGGACCTCCACCCTCCGTTCTGAAACCAGAGCATGCATTGAGACCGTATAGAGAAGAGAGCGACGACGAAACGGGCTACATCATGGGTGCATGGCAGCCTTTCCAGAACCGTTCGGCAGGCTATATTCCTGTTGGTGATCCGCCCTCGACAAGTACTGTCCCACCGACTGCTGCCAAGAGTTCTGGTTTTTCTCGCGTGGGTGGAGGAAGAGCACATATTGATTCACCGTATGCAATCTCACAGGGACAAGCAACGGGGTCCACACATACCTTCCCATCCATCGGGCACCGGATTGCTGCTAATCAAGCATCTACCGGGAGTGTAGGAGAACTCAGTCCATCCAGACTTAGACTGGACGAATCTCCTCCACCTTCAGTTTCTTCAAATCTCGCTCTCGGTCAAAGACAAGTTCACGAAGAATCGACTGGGTTACCGCCCGGTGCACTGCCGCCATACCATGTCCGAACGAAATCTCAGACGGCTATCATCGAAAATGTGGACTCTGCACCACCCATACGTAGACCTGCTGGTTCTTCGGCTTCCAATAGTGCTGGAACCTCTCGCCCACCTTCGCGTTCCAACCGGTTTGAATCGGGTGGAACACCTACAGCTCCTCCTACTGCTTATCGGAGAAGAAGCGCTACTGTCGAAAGTGATGATGATAGTTCTTATGGACGTTCAAAGAAGAAATGGTATCACCTCCGCAGGAGCCGTGCCCATAGTACGGAAGGATATGCAGCTCCAGCTGCTGCTGAGAACGCCGTTTCATCGCTAGAACCTCCATCTTCATCAACACCAGGGAAATCGTTCGTTGTCATTCGGAAACAACAAACGTCCCCTGCTAGACCCCTTCAAGTCGCCAGTGGCTCCGGGTCAACGCCTGCAACACCGACACCCAATTCTGTTTCCTTCGCAAAAGATGTGGGCGTAGGCGGGACTTGACCAACTTTCTCAAATATTCTGTTATCCCGATTTCGCACTAGTGCACCTTACTCTCGTTTGGATGGGCTTCCTTTATGCATTGTTGGTATCGTGTATGAATGAATGTGTTCTTAATCTTTATGGACAATAGTTTTGCTTTTTTTCTGTTTTTGCGCGCATGTTTTTCTCTACATTATCCTCCTCGCCGTTTTGCCTACTAATCCCGTTGCTCACAAATTCCGTTGCTCACAAATTCCTATAACCCGCATTGTACATTAATAGACAATGAAATTTTCGAGAAGAAATGATCTTGCTCGACTGCTACTAGGAAAGATGGAATAGATGTACAACAGTCCGAATTCAATGTCTGCATGTTAAATATAAATAGTAGTGTCCATTTGAATGTCACTGCTCCTCGTCCTCGTAGTCAGCTGTTAAAGATCCTCCAAGCCAGAAGACCCGAAAGTCTTCTACGCCCTTTCGACACCAACAATACAGACCCTTTTCTAACTCAAGTTGCGTCGAATCAGTGCTGAAGGTCGAGTTATTACTCAGTGTAGAGTAGGAGCGGTTGAGATTGCTGGCAAAAGTATGTTGACGATCCCAATGTCCACCTATGCATAGGAATCCAGCATCTCCACCTGTGTCTTGTTCTGCATAGAGGTTGTCGTCCGCACGAGCTCTACTTTTCCCTTTAGTGAGAAGAGAAGGCAGAGAGATCTCTTGCACTTCCACCCCGAGTTCTCCAAGGGAGATGATTTGCAGATAGACTGGGGTAGAATAACCATCCAAATCGGGTTCTGAACCTTCGAAAATCCGAGCGATGATATCGGTAGGATTATTCTTCCAGCTTATGACACGGAGAGGAATATGTAAGGATGAATTAGAGGGAAGTGGACTGGGTAAAATATGTGTTCTTCTACCCCGCGTCAGTAATATGACCTTCGTTGTCTGCAGGGATGCTCCGGAAGCAGGTAACGGCAATTCGCATAGTGCAGGAGGTATCCATTTTCCGAAAGAAGACATATCCATCATCATACGAGATTTACGATGGTTGGTCGGACTCGAGGCTTCTCTGGAAGCAACCCCGGACTGGTTATCATCGTGCAAGTCCACTTCGCCAACAGCCGAATCCGCAAGACGGATCCACCCGGATTTCTTGTCGAATATCACGAACAGACTCAGTTGAGTTCCGTAAGTCATTGGCACGGAAGGACTACTCGAAAGACGATGCGTATCTCGGGAAGTAATGGAACTATCCGTACGTTTATGAGAACTCGAGGACCTGTACCCTGAGTCGGAGAATGAGCGTGCAATTTCGGAGACACTTTGTTGGAAGAAGGTGATGCTGCGAGGAGCTAGTGGGGTGTAGAATTCCTGTAAGAGAATAAGTCCGACGGATAGAAATGGAGAAGTACGTGACACCCACTTTTAAAAAATGGAAGGCTCGTTCACCTTTCGGGGTTTCGTACAAGAGTATATTTGATTTTGTTGCTATTGCTAGGAGTCGGCCTCCTCGGGCACTCGGTCGGTTGTCGTTGGACCACAAGGCATAAGATAAGACTGAACAAGTACTAAGACGAGAACCTGGCGTCGCCAATGGAACGAAATCTGTGGCCCAACGCAAAGGTAATTCATCGATCATATCCCAGCTCGCCGAATCAAACGAGTCCGTTCTAGGGGAGCTAGGACGGCTCCTGTTCCTACTTGATGTTGATTCCATCGATGGCGATGGTGAAAGCAACGATTGATACGATGAAGACTGGGAATGTTCGGAACCATGATTATTAGGCGAATCAATGAGATTTTTCAAGCCCCGAGCAATGCTATGCTGTGGGCGATGCCTTTTCGGAGGTGTCTGTTGTTGAGAGTGCCAGTTAGATGGTCTTCGCATATCTAATGGACGTGCACCCTGTATGATTCGAGGCATATATGATTAAAAAACATAGAAGGCCCATCCTGCGATTGCTAACCTTTTGGTTTACCGCCCATTTAGCCAAACTGATCAAGCTAGTCAGGTTGTACATTCGAAGAGACCTAGGAAATTCTGAATCTTTACTTGAAGTCGACGGGGAATCAACCTCGGGTCCAACGAGAACTAGAACAACGCCCTGAGCAGTTCCACGGGCATCATTCTCCATTTCCAGAAGAGACATCTGAAATACCCTGGTGAAAGTCAGGAAAGGCAGGGCGAGAAGAATGGTTAAAAATACCGTACCCTTCGCCAGTCCATATCGAGCGGGCCTGTGCTTCCTCGGGACCTTTAACACTTATTCCTGCTGCTGATTCAGAGCGCGGGTACATGTCAAGCACTGAAAGACCTTCGTCATGACCGATCAGCAGTAACTTCCCTTCCATTATGGATAGCACACAGCGAATTGGAGAAGTCGTGTGAGGGAGGAATCTCGATCCGAACTGATGCATTCTTAAATGTGTGGGCTGAAGCTTTAAGCTCACAGAAGGAAGTGGAGGGAGTGGCGGTGATAAAGTGTGCTGAGCTGGTTGAGAGATATGAAGGTTACGTAGATCGTTTGTTTGAATGTGCAAAGCCATTGGTGAAGGTGAAGATGGTTCATTGATAATCGTCGGAATACCCGGGAATTCAGCAGAACTTTCTAAACCATACTGTTGTAGTATGCGACTTAATGTTGAATAACGGAGATACCAAAGGTCGCATACCATTTCATCATTCCCCCAACCTCGTTCACGTCGTCTTGAACGTTGGTCGGGAGAAACATCCGTATAGCGCTCAGCTGCTCTACAGCAAAACAACGAAGAATGAGAAGCTGTGTATCTTTCATTTTGTGCAGATGGCACCTTTTCTCTATCCATCCCCTCCAGCGTCCAAATCTAATGAGTTTAAGATATATGAATTTCCTAGTATCTAGTCAATCAACCGACCTTGAATTAGGTCCGTTTTGAGCCGCAAGGTCATCATATGTGGGCAATCCGTCTTCATTGTTTGTTGGATCACTAATATCTTGCTCGGCGTAGGAGTAATCTTCGCTAGACATGAAGGTAGCTTGACGAGAAAGCGAGAACACGTGGTGATACACTGCTTCGACTTTCGTCGCGTAGCAATTCCAATTCTTCGAGCAGTCAGAATAAAAAATAGTTTCACGGAATAAAAAGATGCATCAGAGGGGAGTCGAACCCCTTTCCCGGCCACTTCTGTCAATGAAGATGTTACTATGGGAAGACCGGATCATAACCGTTAGACCACTGATGCTTAGTACAAATTTCGCAGAATCCGTATAGATTTTCCAGGACCCTCGGAGGAATAATTATTTTCAGTGTTGCTAGAAGATCTTTTATGCACTTGAAATATATCATCTGGGGTCCAAAAAGTGCAACAAGTTTAATGAAAGACTAGAATGTACGAAATATTTTGTATCGACAAATGTGAATCAGCATGCCAGAACCAGAAGGCGTTATGTGGATTCGTAGATGAAATCGTTATTAATTCGAAGCTCGACGAACGGGCTGCGAACGAGAAGAGAAATTCTCTTCAATGCCAAGATGCTGTTCAAAATCTGTTTAGCGTAATCTTTGAATTGAGACTTTTTGGAGTCCACAAACCATTATTTGCATCTCCGCGAGTCCTAGATGGACTGAAGCTCATGCTATTACGCAGAAACTATTCGTTGCGCTAGATGTTGACTCTTGGTCAACAGGCAGCAAGGTGGTAGTCCTTCGGGCATCCTCTGATGCGGAACATGATTGAGATTGAGCCTGGACCTGTACGTCGACTCTCAAGGAGTCCAGACGTTCTGAACATTCAGATGAGCTGAAGAGCGAGATGTATTCGAAGGAGTCCATTTCAGACAAGGATGAAGCAGATGTGTGATGAGGAGAGAGAGAGACGTCGCAGGGGTTCGTAACTTGCAAAATTTGCAATGTGAAGAGCTACTTCCTCCAGAGGCAAGCAGCTTATAAGAAGAGACAACAAAAGATAGAAAGGGACAGATTCCTCGGACTTGAAATTGTTTATTTAACCTTTCTGTTCTCGCCCTGCACTGGTCAATGTGTTTTGGACATAGTAACGCGGTAAGCAACCCGATTTTCGCAAAGTCTTGCCTTCTTATTGTGTTTTGGCGTATAAGATCTGGCGATAAATCAGAGCTGATGAGATGAGCCTGCTGGGGTAACGAAAATTTCGCTCAGAGGTTTGAAAAGACAATAAAACAATGAAGATGAAGGAAGGTCAGTCAAGAGTACTTGGACCGGACTTGTATACCGACTATTGTGCCTATTCTAGGCTAAGGCGGAGTAGTGCCCTTCTCCAAGTTAGCCCTGGCTAAATATTTGAATTTGCGAAAAAGTTCGTTCGTCGGGAGCAAACGTTCCCACGATTCTTCGTTCTAGTTACTCTTACTGTAACTTTTGCTTAGAGGCCACGAATGCTGGAAAAAAGTGGTTAACTCTTTCAGGACAATGGACATAGGTGCGGTGGTCCAGCATACTTCGATTGAAATTGTTATAGCTTATAATTCAATTTTGCAGCTTGAGCAATTTGAGCAATACACATGAAAAGATTTCTTATCGTGTATTTTTGCGCGCCCGTATTCAATCTCCAGAATATACTTTTCGTTGTCAGTCTGACTGAACTGCGAAACTTCTATACAACACTCCCTAGTCTGATGATAGAGAACCGCTTCTGAATATCCGTTGTTTCATGTAGCCTAACGACGCCCAAGGACAGGCTGTCAGTTTAGTGGAGTTTTTTTTTCCTATTGGCAGTGATCTACGTTTAGTCCAGACACTGATGAGACTTTAAGACCTGATAAGACGTCTAGTGAGTCCAAAAATAATGTATCTCTGAAGCATTGACACCATCAGCGCTCATCCAACCCGTTTCTGGCAGATCAGTAGTGCCATATGAAGATCTTTCCCGCTGGATTGAATTCTGTCATATCTCGTCTTAGAATCCATTTCTGTCTCCCCCACACCGAAAGCGAAGTATGAGAGCTATTTCTTTACTTTTGTATGGGTATCTACTTTCATGCTGGAGGGTCGACCACTGGTAGCTCAACTGCAAGAAGAACGAGTATCTTTCCCAAGTGAAAAGATTGCAGGATTTTGGCATCGCTCAATACTTCCTCCGACCTTCCATCTACATCTGTTTCATGACTTTTGAAAGATCAATCTCCAGGTGCCGCCACCAAAACTTCGAGCGTCTTGCTTTATATAAAAACATATCCGTTTCTCCAGCACAACTCTTCGTTTTTTCATTTCCTTCCTTCCAATTCTTACTGACCCATCGATTCGTTCCTTCAAAACTTTCACCTAGTTGCTTGGATTTTTCTTTCTTTCCTCTTCCTCAACTATTATGTCTTCAATTCATTCAAATGGCAAACGGGCTTTTGCCGCTACCAGAAACCTACTTCCTGCTGTTAAGCCGGACATACCATTCGCTCAGATTACACAAGCGCCAGCGCATAGCTTTCTTGCTTGGACTTTCGGAAGGGGAACTGTGGTGAATATCCTGTTATCCTCGCATATACATCTGAAGTGTATGTTGACTGGGACTCAATATCAGATATATAAGATTTGGCCCGCTGTGATTTTCCAAACTGTTTTCGCTGTTGGTAGGCATGCTGAGGTTACAGGAAGGTCATAGCTGATCGCTTTCACAGTCATCGTTACTCTGGAGGAAAAGGGAGGCGTAAAACATCTCGCAATCCCCAACATCATGTTGACCGTTCTTGGTACGTTTCATCGATTCTATCGCCATCTGCGCCTCAAATCTTAAATCTGCATAGGTGTTGTTCTTGGTTTTGTTCTATCCTATAGGGCTATGTCAGGATACGACCGTTATTGGCAGGGACGAACTGCCTGGTCAGATGTTATACAACATTCGCGCTCCCTCGGGCGTCTGGTCTGGTATCATGTTCCTCCTCGTTTAACTCCAAGAACTGCCGAAGAAATTTCTACTGGTTTGATGAACCGCACGAGTTCGGAACTCATGAGGGTCATGGCTGAGAAAAGAATGGCACTCGACCTAATCCTAGGTTTTGCCGTAGCTTTGAAGCATCATCTGCGAGGTATTTTCATCAATTGTCGCTCTTGGTGAATGATTACAACGAATATGTCCAGGAGAGGTTGGTATATATTATGAGGATCTTTATACTCTTGTTCGTCCTTTACACGAAGTAAGTATAGCAGGCTTCGTACCTGTTCGCTGCTAACCCGATTTTCTAGCACGATCATACTGCAGAACAGAAGCAGGCTGCGATGGCCTCTAATATTTCGCCTCCTACCCGAGCACGCCGAATCGCATCTAATCCAGCTCTCCCTCAAGCGCAAACAGCGTCTGCAGGTATCAGCAGAGAATCCTCACCCCCGAAAAAACATCACCGTGTTCACTATCACACTGAACATCAAAACAGTAGTGAGAGCACCTACGGAACCTTCCCTATCACAGAATCTCCGCGCGGCTCTATCCACCGAGTCCCTTCCACCGCATCCTTCGAAAGTCAGCACCAAGTCCTTGCCCCGTCGCAACAGCCTGCCGAGCAAGATATAATGAACAATGTCTCTACTGGGCTCATCCCTTTTGCAGGAATGTTTACGAGCATTAGGCGTCTTTTCTCCAGGAAGAACTCATACTCTGAACTTCCGACTTCAGAGTCTGTGGCGAAGAACCCTTGGGGTTACGATGCGAGTCAGAGGAAATGGAGTGGTCCTATACAACCCAGGATTGGGAAGGAGAAACATCGAGTATCTACAGCCACTCGCGGTGAGAATTTACCTCTGGAGATATTGAGGTGCATGAGCGAGTGGTGTAGTGTGTTGGAAGAAAGGAACACTGTTCCAGGTATGCAGCTTTTGACGTTCTGACTCTGGCCGCTTCATACTGATCTCCACTTCACAGGTACAAGCTTAGGATCTATCATTGGTACCGTCGCCTCTCTTGAAGCGACTTTGTCGGGTAAGACGGTTTCCGGCCTGTTGAGATTATTCGCTCATTTCTTCAATCCAGGTCTTGAACAGATCCTTACCACTCCATTACCTTTGTGAGTTTGATACTTTGAAAGTCTTCTGTTACGGACTCATAATAACATTCTCAATCTCCAGCGTCTACTCGGTACACATCAAACAGTGAGTGTTCATGAACACTCCCTTCGACATCTTTGCTTACGAACCATCACTCTCAGCACTGTCTGGATATACCTTTTCTTCTTGCCTTTCCAGCTGGTAGCGGAGTTCAAATGGCACACGATACCGGGCGTTGCACTGGCAGCTTTTATCTACCTGGGTTTCCTTGCAGCTGGGGAGGAGATCGAGCAGCCATTCGGTGGGTCGTTTCCTACCCAATTTGTATTCATTGGAAGTTCGAAGCTCACCTTGACTTCAGGCTACGATGAAAATGACCTCGACCTTGACATGTTCTGTAGTGAAATCATCCAAGTGGACATTGAAAATCTGAAGAAGTCGCCATGTCTCAACGCCTTTCTTCCGCGTACCCCAAAGATCGAACGACTCGTCAAGCATCGCTCAATGACTCTCACCGAAGCTACTGCTCGCGAGGAATTATCCGATTCGGACCTTGAATACTGAACACCTTGATTCGTTCACAAAAAAATGGCATCACGCTTTGACTCTGCTTGGTGTGATGTGGTTGTCTATCATTCAAATTTTATTGTTTTAATTTATCAGCTCGCGGGTTTACCACTGGTCATGGATTCGCCGTATCTCACACTCTTTTGTATCTAAATTGTCTAATTTACAGTCCTTAAATTACCACCGAGGGAGCGAGAGCGTTGTCGGTAAGCTTCGTGTATTGCAAAAATGAGCTCCAGACAGAAGCGGTGCAGAGACTCAGAGAAGCGCCGGCCCTATGTATCGATCAATTTTCGGTTGTGCGCCGTCTTCTTTGGTCAATTCTTCTGCGTCAAACCAAGGCGAGAAATCGATATGGTGTTCAGTTCTCTTCCTAAACCACCATGATTTTTCGTTCTTCGACATTCTCTTTCATTTTCTATCTCTCTACGTTTACTTCGCTCGTCAAAGCGTCGCATGACCATCATGAACATGACCATTATGACCATCATAGCCATCACCATCAACCTCGAGACGTCCAAGTCGCCCGCAGAACCAACAATTTGATCGCCGCTGCTTGGTTCGCTGGCTGGCACCAGGACTCCACGCCTTCGTTTGATACTTCAAATGTAAGCTGGGAGAAATATACTCATATGATTTATTCCTTCGCGTAAGAACCTCTCAATC